GCAGTGTCCCTTTCTTCTTTCCCATCATATCCTTGTCTTTTTGTAGCTCTAGCCTGGGACCGCTCAACCTTGGTCAGATGGTTTATTTTTACTGCCACCTACATAAGCTATGATATGTATGTCATTTATCTTATACAAATGCCACGCTTATTCTGTGGTTATATTTTCATAATTATTCCATTATAAGGATCAATGGGAGGTTAGACAACCCCCTATTGCCCACCACAGTCCAGATCACATGTGAAGAATCTCATCATCGACCTCTCATCTGAAGACTGGGTCTCAGGCCAGTGACAAATTTGATCCAAGGGGGCAAATGGACTAGGAAGCCGGCTTGGTATGGGTCTCAGAGGACACTTTTTACATGGCAATGACTGAGAGCTGGGACACCAGGAGGCCACAGGTGGTCTTTATCATCTGAATTTGGTGTATATGCTCTGATGGGGAATGATGGGGGACAAACCCCGTGAGCTATGGGACAAACTCAGCTGTGTTTCTGTGTTTCCATGATTTTCCTTGAAAACCAATTTTTTGTTGTTGGTACTTTTGGAAATTCCATTCTATCTCAATCCTGCTGAGTCACAGCAAGAGTAGGGATTTTGTCCTAGCATGGGCCAGACCTTGACGATGGCAGTCCTCTTTGGGAGGCAGGACGGTGATGGCAGAGGGCATCAGGCTCTCCGAGGCATTCTGAATGACCTTGGCGCTCAGAGTCAGCAAACTCATGATCTTCTTGTTGCAGGATGTCTGCAGCCAGGAAAGGTGGGGAGAAAGTTTAGCTTGGCTTGCGTCTAATCTTTCCTATCATCCCAAGAGGTGGAGTGACTCTTTCTCAGAATGGAATGGGAAGGAAGGGAGGAAAAGTTCTTGTGGTGACTGGGAAATTAGAAGATGACAATGTGTTTGTACCATTTGGTTTGAGGTTTTATAAATTCCCAAAGTATCCAAAATATAGAAAAAGTACTCAGTTGGCAACTCTTGATTGACCATAATTTTGGAGGATTTATTCATTCTTCTCTTATAGGTGGATAATTAAGAACAAAATATAATTGCGTGATGTTTAAAAGACACATTATACGAGAAATTGGGAGATCTGTCTCCGAAATCCTGTTCTTGCACTGAAAGGCTGTGTGGCTTGGGCAATATGATTAACTAGGCTCTATATTTCCTGAGGTTTAAAATAACTCTCCTATTTTTTTAAAAAATCTTTTCCTTTAAGATGTCATGAAGAATAAAGAACATTTAAGCCTAATATTTTGAGCACCTCAAGGGAGCGAAGTGCTTTAAAAATACCGATTGGACTGTAAAGTTTTTGGATTTTTGAGGAGACTTATAAATGATCACATTTCTAGAAATCACTAAGAGCTGTGCATTTAAAGATAAATAAAAATAGTATTTCATTTTTAAAACATTGGAATATTGGTACTAGGTAGACGGGGGCAGGGGGGGAGAAGGAAAGGGGAAAAAAATCTTTAAAACCTCGTGCTTAGTCAGTTAAGTATTTCTTCATTGCCATTCCCAGAATCCCATCCTACTGTTTCTGAATTTGGTCATAATAATGAGTTTCCTAGGGATGCAGTAACAACGTACTACAAACTGGTGGCTGAAAACAGCAGAAATGGATTTTCTCACAACTTTGGATGCTGGAACTCTGGAATCCAGGTGTGGGCAGGGCTGCTTTCTTCTGCAGGCTGAGGGAGCATCCGATCCGCCTTGCTCCCCAAACGTTGACTGTTAGCAATCCTTGGCGTTCCTCGGCTGGTAGATGCCGGACCCCGATTTCTGCCTGTGTGGTCACAGCGCATTCTCCGAATCTTGGTGTCAAGGCTTCCTCTTCTTATAAGGACAACGGTCATATTGGATTAGGGCCCACCCTAATGACCTCATCTTGATTACATCTGGGAAGACCTTTCCAAATAAGGTTACATTCACATGAAAGGGGGTTGGGACTTCAATATATTTTGTGGGGGATGCAATTCAACTCACAATACTGACCAAATAAAAAAAATCTTCACTTTCCCCAGGAGACCCAGGCTCTGGCAACTTCCCTGAGTGGGTAAGGCTACCTGGTGGTGGTCTTACAGGGCAGGCAGGACTTGTAGGGACCTGAACTGTGCTGTATGTGCCTTAGCTCCTTTCCTGGGTCGTCACCATAACCTCTCCTAACCCTCAGTGGTTCTTCAACTCTCAGCCCAAGAAACTTCTTTTTAGTGCTTTTAAGAAATGGACTTACTTTAATACAAAAGTCAAATGTTTTTTAAGAAAGGATCAGAACACGTGTTTCTAGCCACTCACCCTCTACCCCATTTTCCCCTCTGCATTTGCTGCTGTCGCAATGAAGACCCCTCTGGATCTTCTGGCACAGGGACCAGGCTCCTTGGAGGTTAGGCCCTCACTAAGCCGCAGTCAGCTGGTGACATCAGACGCATTATGAAATTCAAGGCCCTCCCCTTCTCAATCTTATTTTAAAGCTCCTGTGAGTCACCTAAATCTTCTTGTCTATGACTACCAGCGGGGGTTGGGGGGAGGGTGGGGAAGGGTAAGGTGGGAGGGAGGACATTTTCGGCAGTGTGACATTTACAAGTCCCGGGTGTTATCTCTGACCTGCCCTGCTTGGTCCACAATCTCAAGTGGGTTCAGGTTTCCTGAACACATGTATATTGACCTTAGTACAGGGCCAGTTCTGGATGCCAAGAGTCAGCTACTTTTTAGCTTCTGCTGCCAGAAAATGGATTTTTTTCCCTTGAGCAAAAAGTGAAAATAGTGGTCTTTCATTTTGTGAAAACAATTAATTTTTGACAATATTAATGAAACAAATGACCTGAGTTTACCCGCAGTTGAGTAAAGGCTTTGAGTCCATTCTTTGTGCTTTGACTGCAGTGCCCCCTGGTGGATATTTTGATGTGTTGTACCAGTTTTCACAGACACCTAAGAAAGCATTTTAACAAACTCATTGTTTTCTAAAGTGGGTCCATATTTTGCTTCTTGTTTTTCATCCAACTAAAGTTCACATCAACACATGACCAAATGGTGTGTGTATATAATCCTCTGATTGTTCACATGAAATTTTCTACACTTCTCTTCCTCATTTTAGAAAAGAGGGGAGAGAAGGCAGATACAATAAAATGGCACAGAAGAAAGTTACCCTAAGGGCTATCGAGCTGTGGTAGGTAACGTGCCACGTGTATCTAGAAAACTAAAATGCTAAACACATGACTATAGTGAAGTTTTCAAACTGAGATTAATATGATTCATAACATTTTAAAGCAGGATAGAGATATGAATTCATTTGGTGAGCGTCTGACATCTATTTGGTGCCAGAGGGCTTGTGACAAGTGGGTGGGGAGGAAACAACAGGTCCCCAGATAAAGGCCACTTTCTTATGGCTTGGCATAAGGATGTCCTGCCTGTAACTTTATCCCCAACTTACTCAGCGAAGACAAGGACCTCCCTGCCCCGCCTGCTCTCTCGCATTCTGGCCCACAGTGGGGGTGGAGGTGAAGGTCCTGGCCTCACTTCCTTGCTCTGTAGCTTCCAGGAGACTGCAGGGCACCTGTCTGTGACTGGCTTTGGGGACAATGTGAGAACTTTCCCTTTGAACTTTGATCTCTGCATGACTTGGAGATCACCTCCTCTGTGTTTTTTCTTCCAAATCAGGACTCAGCCCCCCATCCATTGTTGTGTAAGGAGAGATGAACTCTGAGAGAACGCTTGCCCTCCAGGGTTACAGAACTTGTTGCCTGCTGGCCTCTGCTTGCCCTGGAGGGTATGTGACAATGTCAGACCTTAGAGACACTTGGGAACACACAGGACCTAAATAAAGGGGTTGTCTGGCGAACCCTCCCACTTTAGTGCAGACCCGTGTGTGAATCACTGCTGGCAGAGGGGCCATTGCATTCCAGTGCCCAGGCATGCTACTCTCAGAAAGGAAGTTCACAGAGCTTTAGAGCCTGAATGGGCCTAAAATCACATCTGTAGTTGAATTTCCCTATAATACAGTCACTAATTCACCTGAAGGAGGCAAAGGACAAGCAGAGATTCACTAAAATTGTCTCTGGAGAGTCTGACACTATCCCATACGCTCCACACAGCCCAACACTGTGGCCTGGAACAGGGACACACCTCTCAGACGGGGGCTGGCTGGCTGGGGGCCCCAAACTCATATCTCACACCTCCCCTCTACCTCTGAGCTGCTCCCTTAACCTACCAGCAACCCCGTGAGTTGAAGAAAAGCCAGTGTCAGAGTCCTTTCTTGAAAGCCTTCACCTGCTGGACTGGGATCTATTATTTTACCCTCTGAGCTTTCTCTTGGCCATGCTCAAACTGTTTATCCTTTCGTTGAAGGCCCTGTTTTACACACACAGGTTTGATTTTTTTTTCTTTTCAGATTTACTTTCCTTTTCACAAGTGTTGTTCCAAACGGGCCACAATATCCTAATGTCCAATTGACACTGACATGTACTCAATTCAGTGCAGCCTCCCATTCTGTGTGTTTGAGTCTGCACACCGCATGCTCTTCCTCCTATTTTTACTTGCTGTGTATCTTTCAATTCACCTTGGTTCATCTCCCTAACCTTTGGATAAGGGGCGGATCAGAGGCCTCCACAGAAGATATGCCCACATTCTGTTCCCCAGAACACGTGAATCTACCTTATTTGAAAATGGAGACTTCGCACGCATATTAAGTTGCAGATCTTGAGATGGAGAGCTCGTCCTGGTTTATTCCAGTGGGCTCTAACTCCAACGACAGGTGTCTTTATAAAAGACACATGGGAGAGACACACAGAGAAGATGAGATGACGGAGGCAGAGGCTGGAGTGTTGCGGCCAAAGGCTAGGGAATGCTGGCCGCCACCAGAAGCTGGAAGAGGCGAGGGAGGATTCTCGCCGAGAGTCTCCAAGGATAACAGCCCTGCCAACACCTTGGTTCTGAACTTCTGGCCTCCAGAACTGCGAGACAATAAATTTTTGTTGTTTTAAGCCACCAAATTTGTGGCAATTTGTTAAGGTGGCCACAGAAAAATAATACAGTCTCCAATGTCTTAAGATTATATTTAAAACATTTCCCATCAGGGGCTATTCAGTCATTATTCCCACATTTAATGTTATTTTGCGATCAACATTTTGCTGTACCTTTTAGGTCACTGATCTCAGTCATTTTGTATATTTCAATCATTGCAATTTATTTGTCAATCAATGGGCTGTGTCTAGAAACCCTCTGTTTCTCTACTAACCTACCAAAAATAAATTGGCTTCTTTCTAATTCACAAATGTGGGAGCAAAAGGCTGTGTGTGGGCAGAGCTGTGGACAAGTGGGCTTCACTATAACTGCCAAACAAAAATTTTGGCTAAGGGGACAACTGGCCTTTTCATTAGGGACCCATTTCTCCAGAGAAGCCTCCAACCTCTTGTTGGTGGGTATCTCCCTGGCCAAGGCCTTCTGGCATCAGGTTCTTGGAAATGGGCTGAGTAGTCTACCATCATTAGGCCGACTTTCAGTTAATTCCCTTATTTTCAGGCCTGTGCCTCATCCTCTCTGTGCTCATCAATAGCAATTAGACTGGCGCCCCCTGGAGTCACTTTCTCTAAGACACATTTCCAGCCAAGGGTGGGGCCAGAGAACATGCAGTTGGTGGCCTCTATGGAATGGCTGGAAGGAAATCTGGGGGCACATTCATTCTACGTAGAAACTTTCCATCAATCCCTTGCTTCAGGTATCTCCTACCTCTAAGTCCTGGGCATCTGAAAGTTCTGCAAGGAAAATTGGCTTTCAAACCTCCTGGGAAAGAATGACAGTTTAAAACCATTTTCTTTTCCATGAAAGGGGCCAATCAAAGAGTATTGTTGAGAATTGTCTGGTGGGGTGGAATTCATGATGCTTGATCTGGGTTGAGAGGATCAGCAAGAACAACAGGTCAGAATCTACTCCGCTCAGGAAGTTGGCTGGTAGCTGGCAAATACTGAAAACTGTTAAGAATGCTGATTTGCCATCAGTTTGAAAGGAAATTTGTATTTTTTGGTACATTAGAATGCATTCTTGCAGAAACATCAAGAGGATGTAAAAATAATTCCATTTCGGTACCAAAGATGCTTGGCTTTGTTACTCTGACCTAGGACGGGAGGGGAGTGTGCACTCTCTTTCCCTTGATGCCAAGAACTCACTGTCATATTGGGAAACTATTTAATGGAATTGGAATGTAAAAATCAGAATATCTTAGGTTAAGTAATTTCTTTTTATTGGTTGTACTTAGCAGTTAAAGAAATGTATACCTTCTGTATAACAGAGGCTGCAAAAGCCGAGTATTGGCGTCAGGGAAATTAACACTAATTGTTCAATGAATATACTTGAGTGTGTGTGTTCCAATGATGGCTCTTAATCACCCACACTTTCCGGAGCTTTCCATGCAGAAGATATCTTAGCCTCTTTATTGGACTCTAAATCTAATTTTAAACCTCTTAATAATGCCAACACCTTGTAAAGCAAATTAGATAAAGCCGAAATGTGTTTTGTCATGAATATGGCAGGTAAAATGAATGGTTGAATGACACCCAAGGACATTAACAACGCGTTGCTTAATATATACCACCCATAAGGCTAAGTATTTCATAAGTATTAGTTCGCTTATTTTTACAACTACCATGTAAGATATTATGTCAGTCAACCTAGACTAAGTTATGCTGCAATGAAAAAGTGGCCCCCAGGTCTCAGAGGCTGATGACAACACACACTTACTTCTCATCCCCACAGCACGTCTGTCACAGGCTGCACAACTGAGGGCCTAGAAGGTGGAGCCGCACCTGGATGGATATTCGTAGTCTTGGGTGAAGGGATAGGAGAGATGGTGAACCATGAGCTGGTTCTTAAAACTTCTGTTTAGAAGGGATGCATGTCACGTCTCCATTCGATTCATGGGCAAAGCCAATCACAAAGTCACTCCTGACCTCACTGAGCCAGAGGTTTTACTCTATTTCATCGAGGATCATCTCCAACGATGAGGCCAGCCTGGTATCCGTGGATGGGGGAGTACAATCCTCCACCAGGGAGGGCAGCAAATATTTTGAATAATATGATCTACCATAAACAAAGCAAAACCAGCAAAACAAAACAAGAACATAGCATCAAGGGCTTAATTATGCAGAAATGTTAGAATCAAACTCTGTATGCCACTTTTTTAAGAGAAAGAATTAATTTTCACACGCGTGTTATTTTTCCAGGGTGTAGTTGAAAAATAAAAAGGAAACATAAAGGTATTATCCTATGAGGAATAACACAGAGAGATTGCCTTACAAAAGGGCCATTCCAATGCTATTTATACAAAGGAAATTCCAGTTCAGGTGGTCTCAAAGAGGATCCTGTTTCATTTTGGGGATTCTCTAGTGTTTTACATTCATCATGTGACTCAAACTTGACAAATGAAATAGCTTAGAGGCAGTAAGTGTGACTGTTTTAAGGTGAGATCATTTTGCCCAGCTGGGCGTGGCTCAGCGGTTGAGTGTTGACCTAGGATCCAGGTGATTGGGGTTCGATTCCCGCCGGTCAGGGCACATGCCCGGGTTGTGGGCTCAATCAATGACTCTGTCATCATTGATGTTTCTGTCTCTCTCTCCCTCCCCTTTCCTCTCTCTGAAATCAATAAAGACATATTTTAAAAAAGAAAAAAAAAGGTGAGATAATTTTAAGAGAAAATAATTTCACATCATCAGAAGCATATCTTAAACTCATGGGTACCTAGCCAGTCTTTGCATTTTATTTTCTTTCTCATGGTTGCATAAAGTCCTTGTCTGTCACAAGACAAGTAAATACATACACATCCCAATGCTTTAGTTAATTTTTTCCCTAGTTTATTAGACTCTTCATTAAAAAGTCACTTCTCTGGGTTCAGCATTTATTACACTACAGAAATTAGCCAGCCAGGTGTCACTGTTTTCTGGAACGAGCCTGCCACCTAGTGGTTATGTGGAAAATAAGACTTGGCAAAACCAGTTGCTCCGCAGTTTTTTCTTTGACAAATATTTTTTGAGCACCTAATGTGTACCAAACTCTGTTCCAGCTTCCAACAGTGAATGAAATGAACAAGAACCCCCAACCTTCTGGAGCTTATGTTTTATAACATAAGGACGCCTCTTGCCAATTCAAGGGCTCAAGGACTTTGCATCTGTACTGAGCCCCCCTCTTTCTCTTACATTCTCAAAGGCTTCCCCCTGCCCCTTGCCCATGCCCTTCAATATAAAGACTTGCACCAATGTCTTTCATTTAAAAACAAAAAACAAAACAAAAAAACCCTTTCAAAACAACTTTCCTTAATCCCCGATTTTTTCTATCTAATGCTGCATTTTTTTTTTTTTCTTTTGCATCCCATCACAATAAAACTTCTCAAAAGTTTTTTTTGTTTTTTTTTATCCCTTGTGCCGCCAGAGCCTTATCTGCCTGGCTGGTTGCCGAATCCCCGGCCCTCAGAAGTAACAGGTGCTCGATAAATGTGTTTAGTGTGCGTNGCAAGTGCTCGATAAATGTGTTTAGTGTGTGTACGGATTCATATTGCAATAACGATGACACCCACCCCGGCCTGGTCTCTGGGTAATCTGGTATTTGGAAAATAGAGGTAGAAAGGGCATTAAATGGGTGAGAACTGTGCTTAGCATTTGGGAAGATTCTTTAACCGGTGGGCTCCCGATCTGTGAATGGAGGGCTGAGCTGCTCTGGATGACAGTTACATAGCACGTAAGGATCTTGGGGCGAGGTCTAACTGGCAGTGGCATCTTGGGTATAATATTACAAAGAATTTTTTGGCCACAAATATGCTGTGATATTGATTGATTAGTGATGTCCACCCTGGATGAGGGAGGTGGTGTTGGCTGTGCATTCCTGGTCACATGGTCTCCTCCTGCTCTAAATGTCAGAGATTTAAAAAGACGGAGTCTCAAAATGTTGTTTCAATTGCATTTTAGATATAAACTGGACTTAACCTCTGAACAGTCCTCAGCATTTAATAATAACAGAAGAGTTAAACTCAGATTCAAAGTTGTGAACCGTAATCTCCAGGAATGAGCCTAAGATACATGGGAACAGATCTTCACCTATGTATTTACCCAGAGTTCATCTGATATCCTGTACCACGAAGGAAAAGTATTTTATTGTACAATATTTAAAACTGTTCCTTTCAGAAAAATGTCCTGCGCCAAGTCTGGTATCTATTGTGTCTAATGTTTCATTTTCCTCTGAGAGGTGTCATCGCTCCTTCTCTTCTGATTGGCTGGCTTCACTTGCTCGCCCACCCCCCCACCTTGCCTCTCTGCCAGGGGTAATTCCAGACCAGACTGGCAGGTATTTCGAGCTAGATTTCAATTACTGGGATACCAAGTGTGAAATTATGAGGTTACAACAAAATAAACCGCAGAAGAAAGCGTACACTTCTTTAAAGGAAATCGGGATCAAGTGAAAATTTTCATCACCTTGTGTGTCAGACACTCATAAATGTTTTGAATGGATAAAAACATCTGAATGGATTTGAAGATTTGAAAGAGGGTATAGAGTTTACTTTAGTGAAAAGCGAAGATAGCAATTGGCGATTTTAGCAGGAGGAAATTCTTAATGATCTAGACTAGCGGTGGGCAAACGACAGCTCTGTGTTAAAGCTGACCTGCCACGGGTTTTTGTAAATGAAGTTATAATAGGATTGCTTCTGCAGTTTGCAGGCTGATAAAATAAATGGCCTCATGAGGAAATTTCTATATTTGCAGTAAAAAATTGTCCGTTCTGAAATTCGGTATCCTTTACACAAGAGAGTGTGGCAACACATTTCTCTTAAAGTTGATGGCTTGGAAGGTCTGTCCCTCCTGACACACTGAAAATGTTTGCTTTTATTAGAGAAATGAACAGTCCATGATATTCTAATCTTTTCTTTTGGCTGCCAGGAAGCTTACAGGTAAAAACTCCTTGTGCAAACGTAGCTATATTCTTCAGGTTTTCCATTAGAGTTACCCGAGCCCGCCTGTAATCCCCGATACCATACTTAACTCTTATTTTCTCTCTTCCTTAACGGTCCTGCTGGTGGTGCTCTACAATCAGTTCTTTAGGACACATTTGCTGAATGAGTTTTATGAATCAACTAAGGGCTTTAAATACACTTTCTTACAGAATCCTCAGAACAACCCCGTGAGGTTGGACTTTTCTCATTTTCCAGGTGAAAAAGACTAAGGCTAAAGAACAGGAAGGACTGCGTTCAAAATCAGAAAGCTAGAAAGTGGAGGCCTGGTTAGGATTTGAAACCACTACTAGGTAAAAACCAAGCTTGTTGACTCCGCCACTAAGATGCACTATCTCCCCAGTCACAGTCCAATGGAGTTCAACAGCTGTCAGGAGAACTGATCTGTAAGAATGGAATCTGTTTTCCCAGACAAAACCCAAACAGTGAAGCAATCCTGGAAAAAGAGTCAATTCTTGTCCGTGCATTAAGTATATGCAACTTAAAACCATATTGCATCTAAAAAATATTTGTGACACGTACTGGTATTGGAGCTGGGGAAAAAGACTCTCTTAAATTTTTCTGGTTACACAGAATTTTTAAATCTCAGTGGAAGACAAAACCCACACAAATCAGCACAGTGATGATTGATGGATCCCATTGCTAGAAACTTAAACTGAGGAAATATTTTAAAAGATGAGACTATGTGTTTAAAGCTGTCACAGCAGCATGATTAGAAGTAAAAAAACAGAAAGGAAGATAATTGGCCTTCAATAGAAGATAAAATGCTTAAGTGAACTGATTCAGCAGCAATGCTATGTATTAGATCATTCAGATAGACGGAGAAAGACATGAAAGCCAATGTTATATAGAAAACAGAACTTTGCATTGATTATGGGTCCATCAGGGCAAAAAGTAAGTTAATATATGGATGGTGTAGTAGGTGCTAACTACAGGCTAAAATCTCCCGGCTCCAGCCATCACCTCAAAAGCTTCTCTTGCCTTAGAAGTGGAAGAGAGTGGGACACCCCAGAGAACTGGACTAACAGCCAGAAGGATGCCAGGGCTGGGGCCATATTCTTCACCCCAATTGAGCGACTAATTTAAAGGTAAAGAAGCAGAAAAATGCAAGAAACAGAAGTTCAGGGTTCAAATTCAGAGTGCAGGGAAAGCTGATAAGTAGTGATTTCTCAGCCTGGAACAGGCCTCCTGAACAACACACAAAATTATATATCATTCCCAGAGTAATGAGTGGTCACTGGAAAAACACTCATTCTACACGGAATTGTATGACATGGTGTTGGAAAGCTGAGCAAGCTCCACCCCACCTCTGAAATGGCACCAGTTCTCAGCAGAGCAGCCTGGTACCCGTGTGGGCTAAAGTCCTCAAACATTTCCCCATGTACTGATGATACCACGACGGGACAAACGCCTCCTGGTCAGCAACTTGCTTTAGGCACCTAAGAAGTTGTTTTTTGACATCTTTCCTTGTGTTTGATTTTGATCAAATAAATATTTTAATTACAATGAAAATGCTTTTATTTTTTTTTTTGTTCCAAGTCCTCCAGGAAGTGACAAGAGCCATGATTTTTCTTGTGTCCAATACCATGGCCCGTCACTGTGACAGGCTACCTCATTTTCATAGGTGGCATTAGGTTCCCCGGAAAACTACTAATGCAATAGCTGTTTTGCTTGTTGTTGTTTTTTGTTTGTTTGTTTTTAGATACCCTCGACCATTTATGCCAGCCTTTTCCTTAACACACTTGAAGCCTGGCTCTCTCCTTTCTTACTATCTTCCTTTTTTGGTTTGGAGAGAAGTCATTCTTCCTGATATTGAGTTGAGCTTACTTGAGGAGACTCCCAGGCTGGGACACAACTGGGTTATGGCATCTGCGGTCTTTGGGAGTCTATGTATGGAGCAGAAGTAAGCAGATGTTGGCATCTGGGCAGCATTTGCACTTGGAGAAGTCAGGGAAACAGCACCCCTCATTAATTCCTAGCAAAAATGTGCATCCTTTGCATTCTGTTTGGCAACGTGCTTGTGCACTACCCAATTTATTTTGGGCACCATTCCCTGCATTGGAGTTAAATTTAAGACCTTCTGATTCTCAGTAGGGGCTGATCGAGAGAAGAATCAGGTGGTAATGAGGAAATGGGGCAAGACTGCACTATCTAGCACTGGAACCCCCACAACCACATTTATTCAGGAGGAGGGCCACATGGATAATTGTTCCACAACATTCCTTATGCCATAACTTGTTCTTTGCAGAGTTTAGTGGGTGATTATGGGGGAAGGACAGCCAAAGAATTAAGAGCTGTCTTCCCAACACTGGTCCCTCTGCTCTAATCCCCGGCCCTGTGTCTGTGGGAGCAGGTAGGCCCTGCCTGGAAAGAGCCCTTGCTGCTCAGTGAGGCAAATCCCCTCCTACCATTGGTTCTGTATATTTTCTTAACAGGAAATGCTGGAGAGTAGAAAAAGTACTCTGGGACTGAAAGCCTAGTTGGGAAATTGTGGTCGATGACAGGGACCAGGGAGAACTATTTAGATAGAGGATGAGATGCTTTTTATTCACCTTTCATCTCGGGCAAAAATGTTCCTAGTGTTCGTGCCAAGGCCAGGTTGCTCCTTCCACTCCAAGTCCAGTGCTGCGTAGTAAACACACGCCTGCTCAGGTTTCCGGCTATCCTTTCACAGAACATAAAGAGCAACGTGGAACAGGGAACCGAAGTTAATCTGTTTTCTTCCAGTTGCTCAACGTGTAGTAACAGAAAGTGGAATTCAAAATCCCTGATGCTAATCTTTGGCACTGCTCTAGAAGTGACTGCCTGGATTTGTGCGACAGCCTGGGACAGTGGTCAGCGAAGGGCTCAGGGAGCATGGCGGGCCCCTGCTCAGAGGAGAGCTCTGCTCCATTTCTGTGCCTCCAAACCTGTGCCTGCCCAGGACACCTGAACCATAGCAAGAGGCGGATCCCTGTGGCACTTCACAAAAATCAGGTGTTTTCCTATTTCATGCACTTTGAAGCTAAGGTTTCTCAAACTCATTTTGACATTTTAGGCTGGATAATTTATTGACATTTTGAACTGGATGATTGTCTGTTGGGGAGTTGTTCTGTATGCATTGTAGGATGTTCAGCAGCAACCCCGATCTTTACCCATCAGATGCCAGAAATACTTGCCCTCCTTATGCTTTTCTCCGCACAAATTCCTCCAGATATTGCCAGTGCTCTCTGGGGTGCAAAAGAGCCCTTGCTTGGGAACTGCTGAGTGAAACTGAGGAAGTCCTTTCTGTTGGCTATGTGATAGTGAGGTTGTAATAATGGGGGGTGGAGGGGAGGGTAGGAAGGGAGAAAGATAAAATAAAGACTATACAGATTTTGATATTTTACTTTGATTAAAAATCATAAATATATTTAGGGGAGGAAAGCTGTAGAGTTTCACATATAATACTGGCTGTCTGGCCTTGAGCTTGCAGTTTGTAGATGAGGTCTTGTGACTCAATTGAAGCAATTCGGTTCTCTAGCCTACACTTACCAGTGGGGCTCAATGTATCAAATTTTCTATGTGGGGTGATTTTTGCCTCCTGGGGAACATTTGGCAACGTCGGGAGACATTTTTGGTTGTCACAACTTTTGGAACGTATGTGGTGGTGGCGGTGTGTGTTTGTGTATGTGAGTGTATGTGTGTGTTACTCGTAACTAGTGGGTAGAGGCCAGCAATGATGCTAAACATCCCACAGTGCACAGGACAGGCCCCGTCCCCCCAACAGAAAACTACCAGCTCAAAGCAGGAGGCTGAGAAACCCTGCATCTATCTAGCCTCATAGATGGTGTGCGGGAATGAGGGACACACATCCAACATATTAAATTACTGAATTAATATTTATGGTCAAAGAAATAGGGTGGTTTGCAATTTGCTTTCCTGTTCTTGTACCATATTTATTTGCTATTCACTTACATGGAAAAAAGAGAAAAAACACACACGAAAAAAGCAAACCAACAAAACCCCTACTTTTTTCTTACCGCCCTTTGGTTAAATTGTGAACAGTTCGAGCTTGCACGCGTGAGTCGAGCCTGGCGCGGGCCCGTGTAAACCGCAAGTACCTGTTCGGTTGGGTGCAAGTGTGCCCCCCGCAGTGCTGGCGGACAGGGCCACCCCACTTGATTTAAATGCAGTTAAGTTCAGGAAGTCTTTTCCTGTAAATAAAGAAACAGACTTACCTTTTCCCAGCTGCGTGCGGATGCACTTGCCTTGGGCGTCTGTCCGCCTAAATATGGTTATGGTTTGTCGTCCGGATTTTGGAGGACGACCCTGAGCCTGAATCAGGTCAGGGGGGCAGATCCACCCTGCCGCCTGGAGGAGACCGCAGCTCAGCGGTTCTCCCGCTGGGGCGCGGGCAGCCGAGAGCCGCCCGAGCCCCGCCAGAGGGCGCCCAAACGCCGCGAAGGAAGCTCCGAGGCGCGCTCGGCCGTTGCGGGGAAGGTGAAACTGGCTTTTGTCTAATGAAAGAGCTCCCGTCGTGAGCGGCGTCCTGGTACGCTGTCCTTTGCGTTTGCTTCTTGCCAACAGATAGCGAGGCGAGCGTATCTCCCCACCCGGGTGGTTATCCTGGGTCCGGGTTCCACGGGCGGCAGACCCCGGGGCTCCCCGCGCGCCGCGGGCGCTTCGAGCCGGTGGCCTCGGCTAAGCCGGCCTTCCCGAGGACTGGTGGCCTCCACTGAATCACAGGCACACACAGCGTCCCGGCGGGTCCTCCCCTCGGGCTCTGGGCCTTCTCAGGTCCCGAGAGCGTTCTCGCCCGACGGGAGCTGCGCTGCTGGTGGCAACCGCCGCGCCCGGCGCTACCCCGCGCGCCTCCCAGAAGTGCCAGCTGTTGGGGGCCCCCCTCCACCCGCGGACAGCCGTCCTTAAGGGTTGAGGGAATGCCGCCAGGTCACTCCCAACCCCGCTGCCTGTCGGGGTTTTAGGATCTCAGCCGGCCTTGAGGTGCTGAGAAGGGTCGCAGGGGCAGGGGGCATCACTCATCACCTCGAGGCAGCCCCTTAAGTCTGAGCGAAAGTCGTAGCACTTCCAGCCAACGGCTCTGAGAGAGAGAGAGAGAGAGAGACCCACCCACG